TTGTTTCATAGTACAAAACAATGATACATAGATAATCATATGATAAATTTTTAAAGAAAACAATATGTTTTTTTCAATTACCTTATTTTTTGCTCCAGTTTCTGAATCATTAATGAAGTATAGCAAACTGTCGACTCCCGAAGAATCCATTTTTTATTTGTTAGTCATCTGTTTAAGAACAAACAACAATACAACAATATAGATCTGAATTAGTATTTGAAATGGTATCAATGTTCCAAAAACACATAATTTTGATGTGCACATTAGTTTCAATCAGAACAGTGACAACAAATCGATATAGAACTTAAAATAATTAAATCTTTACAAAGTATTGCAAACATAATCGTTCGTAATAGTAGTTTTCATGTTACTTTTTCTTAGAACTTTCTGATTTTGAAAGATATTCGAATGCACAAACAAGATTCGTATGTGTTTTTGGATCAAATGTTCGACATTCTAAAACAAGACACACTAAAAAAATGTGAAGTACAGTTACTGTTCAAATTACAACAACAACAACAACAACAACAACAACAACAACAACAACAACAACATAGCCTTTTCTCATCAATTGGAGCCACCCCGACCAAGTTACTGTTCAAATTGAATTTTAAAAATCGGTCTGAAATCTAATTAAATACTAGATCTAAAACTTTTATAAATAAAATTATATACTTTAGTAAAATATCGATACTTCATTTCTGGATTTCATTTTTTTTAACACAAAACTTTCGGATTTGAAAGAAAATTCAAAAAATTAAACCAGATTCATCATATATTTTAATAAAATTCACAGAAAATGATAGCGAACTGCAAAAACCATAAAAAATATCCATAAATTGAAAAAACAAATCCATGAATAGTAGGTTGATCTATAATATCTATGAACAATGAGTTAGTAGATCTGGATACGGTAAAGGAAAAACGACCTTCAATTTTTATACAATAATCCCTGATACAAAAATTAAAAAAAAAAACTAAAAAATGAAAGACCTCAGTCGTTCATAAAATTTTTTAATCGGGTGTATCATACATATTCATCAGATCATATTTGACTGAGATTCTTATCAAACTCGACTAACATTAACTCAAATCGATGAAAATGAAAAAAAAAAAAAAATAATAAACTGAAAAAGCCCATATCAAGTTTTTCGAATCCGTGCTCAAAACAATATGCATCATGTCGTAATCGACATAGATTCTCATAAAAATCTATTATCATGAGTTGAGTTCGTTCAAAATTAAAACAAAAATAAAAAAAAAATTAAATGAAAGGTCAGGTGAAGGGTCGAGAAAGATGAATCGGTGGGAGAGAGAAGTGAGAAGATACTGAGAGAACAAATGACAAACCCTAAAAAATTGGGTTTTTTTACCTTTTATAGCATGCTTTATTGATTTCAGGCTGTTAGATATTGTTTGACTAATATTAGCCGTCCAATCGGCTAATAGTTGTTTATGGACCGAGTTTAATCAAATGATAATGGATCAGATTTTTTGAAATGTATTGGGCCATGTTCGGACGGAATCATTAAAATTTTAATAATGGACCGACT